ATTTCTATTTGTAGGCAGTTGAGTTTGTTTTAGGATAAATGAATAATTATAAATAATGACACAAAAACTGTAATATATGAACTTATTATTCTAAGTGCCTGTTGTTACAAATCATCTGATTAGTATCTTGTACCAAAGTGAACATCCTTTTTCGTGACCCCATCGGCCGCGGAAATCCGTGACTCCGCAACGGTTCCAGGTTGTTTCGCCCTAAATCCCGTTCGCCCTAGGTTGTTTCGCCCTAAAGCAAAAATATTGCGGCGAAACATTGTTTGGTATTTTCTTTCAATTTTAGTAGTTTTAAGTCACAGAGTAAGTCTTCTTAGTCTTCCATATCATTAAAATCAATTTCATAAAAAAGTGTCAATTAGACACTTTAAAGTGGAATTGTACTTGAATGTGACCGCAATTTGTCTTTATATTAAACGGCACTGATAAACATATGGTTATAAATAAATAAAAGGGTCCCTATCGCGAAGAATCCCCCACAAAACCACTCCGTTTCGTCAAAAATATCTCCTTTTCGCTCCTTTTCGTGGTTTACCCCTACCGTGGAATTGTAATTGAATGTGACCGTAAATTGTCTTTATATTAAACGGCACTGATAAGCATATGGTTGTGAATAAATAAAAGGGTCCCTTTCGCAAGGAATCCCCCATAAACCACTCCTTTTCGTCAAAAATATTTCCTTTTTTATCCTTTTCGTGGTTTACCCCTACCATGACTCCGCAACGGTACGTCAAATAGACTCTTTAAAGTGGAATTGTACTTCAATGTTCTCGTAAATTGTCTTTATATTAAACGGCGCTGATAATAATATGTTAATGAATAAATAAAAGGGTCTCTTTCGCAGAGACACCCCCAAAACCACTCCTTTTCGTCAAAAATATCTCCTTTTCGCTCCTTTTCGTGGTTTACCCCTATCTTGGAATTGTACTTGAATTTGACCGTAAATTGTCTTGATATTAAACAGCACTGACAAACATATGGTTATGAATAAATAAAAGGGTCCCTTTTGCACAGAAAATATATCCTTTTTGCTCCTTTTCGTGGTTTACCCCTACCGTGACTCCGCAACGGTACGTCAAATAGACACTTTAAAGTGGAATTGTACTTGAATGTTCAGGAAATTGTCTTTATATTAAACGCCACCGATAAACATATGGTTATGAATAATTAAAGGGTCCCTTTCGCAGGGAAACCCCCCAAAACCACTCCTTTCCGTCAAAAATATCTCCTTTTCGCTCCTTTTCGTGGTTTACCCCTACCGTGAACTTGTCATAAATTGTCTTTATATCAAATGGCAATGATAAACATATGGTTATGAATAAATAAATGGATCCCTTTCGCAGAGAGCACCCCTCAAAACCACTCCTTTTCGTCAAAAATATCTCCTTTTTGTGGTTTATGCCTACCGCCGATTTGAGTACTGTTACGTTTTTAACTGTACCCAAATCGGGACACCCCCACCAGTTTTGGCTTATATTTGGAGATGAAAAAAGAATTTAGCAGAACATGGCATATCTTTGGTATTTAAGAGACAGCGGTCGCTCTGAATGAATTTCTTTTCCAAAAACAACCATTACTTGTGAAAAAGTAGGACTGTGAAAAATCACATACAAAAATATGAAAATCAATAACGTCGCATGGCGCTTCAATTTAGAACGTTACATTTTTGTCATTATTTACAAACTAAAACTGTGATTGTAACCATGATTGGCAGTAAATAAACTTCATATAATGTTTTATTGGTATATAAGCATCTTTAAATCAATATTTTCATTTTAATAATACTTCTTTGCACATCATGCAAATTTCGTGTGACTTTTTCCTCCAAGTTGGGGTAACGGGTTGTTTTGGGTTTTGCCCTAAATCCCGTTCGCGCTAAGCACAGGGGCACGTGCCCCTGTGCGCTAAGTGTTGTTTCGCCATAAATCCCGTTCGCCCTAGGTTGTTTCGCCTTAAATATTTCTTCTTAATATATTCTTTAATATAATGATTAATATTTAAATATATCAAATAAACTTATTGATGACTTTCTGCATTGGTGTAGGTATATTGCATGAAGAGTATGTGAGAGCGGAGTCAGCTTTTCACAGCTGCCGTTTGTCACACTCGTTAAAAAACAAGACAAATACTTTTTTTATGAAATTGATTTTAATGATATGGAAGACTAAGAAGACAACTCTGTGAATTAAAACTACTGAAATTGAAAGAAAATAACAAACAATGTTTCGCCGTAATATTTTTGTTTTAGGGCGAAACAACCTAGCGCGAACGGGATTTAGGGCGAAACAACCGGAACCGATTTGTGACGGTAGTCTGCTGGAGGATTTCAAAGTCCCGATGTTTGCCGTAACCTTCTTGGCCATAGTTATCTCTTATAGTAACGGTTGATAATATACCCAATTTACTCGTTATTCTGTTTTACAGTAACCAGTATTCCTCTAAATTTTGAAATTCATAGATTAAAGGATTTATCTGCCTTGCTTTCTGTTTCAACAGTAGTTTAAACAAATGTAGATTTCCACCCTTTTCCACCCCAAGCATCATCAGTCATTGTTAGCTTACTGAATTTATCATCGAAATTTGAAGGTTTAGATTAATATACAATGACATACAATGTAGAAGTGATGCTATTCTTTAGGATAACTTGGGTAGAGGGAAATAGTAGTTATCATCTGCTGTTATTTTTTATAAGAATTTTAAATATTTACAGATTTAGACACAGAAAAGTCGTCATAGACGTCTTGTTGATCTGGATATTCTAATTTGTATCAGTAAAAAAACAAAGCAATATCGAGTGAAGAGTCAATAGAGATTGGGTGTCCCCAAAATTCATGGAGTCATATAAAATATAAACTATATTCATTTTACAACAATAATGAAAAACTTATGTAAACTAATACTAATCACTATTGTTGGCCGGGATGTTAGCGTGTGGTGGGTCTTAGTGTGGAAGGAAACCGGAGTTCCCGGAGAAAACCCACTTAGTTGGGTCAAACCGCGACGGCCTTGGTGAAAGGCAAGTGCGCTATCCACTGCACCACCCCCGACCACCGTAAACGTTCACATACAATCTCTGCAGGAAATGCAAGTGAGCGTAAACCCATGAACTTTTGAGGATGGAGAGTGGGAAGCCTATACATGTGTTTTGTGTCAAACAAAAGCTTCACATGTCCAGTATACCTGTGTTTTTGTGGTCATCCCTTTCATTATAAATACATTTTCAATATCACCCTATAAATATAAAAATGCCTACAGTACTCTTTGCATTGTCGACATCTTATATTACTCAAGTTCAAAACACTTCACTCCAGCCAGCTACATCGCAAATATTGTAATCTGCCTTGTGATTCTTGAGAAGAAGTCATTTTAAGTTTTAAACACTTAACCTGTGATCTGTGGGTCAAGGTAATAACAAATTTTGATAGTCTTTTTAACCCAAATGACAAAAAAACTTGGTTAATTCAAGGTCACAAGGATCAAATGAACGTATAAATCTCCCACTGGATTTTTCTGATAAACTTGTTTGGGGACTATACCAATGATATAGGGTCTGTAGCTTGCTGGGGTGATGTGAAGTCAAGTTGTTTATTACCTCCAAACAAATTCATGTTCCTTTGGATCAAACGTGTTAAAATATGATGATTTCTTGTAATGAACGTCAAGGCCTAGAGCGATAATATTTAGTCTGAAGCTTTTTTAAATGATTTTCAGAATGTCTTTCTCAGGCACAATCTGATGTCAAGATTATTAACATTCTTACATGACGACAGCAATTTGTTCAAAATTTCGTGTTGATATGAATGTGGATGAATATACCACAAATGAGGAGAGAAATCAAGATTTTTTTTTATATCTGTTCATCTTTTACTATGTTAAACACCAAAATTCTGATTAAAGAACCTTCGGGCTCATAAAACAGAACAAGATCGATAATAAAAGACAACAATAAGACATAGGACAATTCGTGACATTTTATTTCAACAGAAAATACAGGTAAATAAATACAGGTAAATACAGTGTGCTACACTGTTCATTTAACTTCAAGTTAAATCTTAATATTTATATATTATTTTTCATCTTATTATAAATCAGAGCTGCAAGAGGACATATAAATATAGTATAACATTTTTGACAGAAACAGTTCATAGTTACTTCCCTTTGAACATTTATCACAGTTTGTTTTTTGTGGACGGATTTCTTGCAGAATTTGAAATTTATATATTACATATACATACATTCAACAATTTAATGTTTACCATAAATGTTTTCTATAAATTCTAAATAGTGTTTTCAAATCAGTCAAAAAGTGTTTCATTATAGAATATATAGTAACACTATAAAATTAATAAGTTTCTGGCGTATTCAAAGAAAAATGTCCAAAGTTACTTCATTGTTCCACATATGATCAACAAAATACCCATGTACATGACTGATACCACGTCTTTGTCTGAATATAAATATTTTATTACTGGTGTTTTTCCCCTTGAACTGATTAACTGACAAGAGTTTCCAAATCTCCAAGTTAAATAGATTCTTAAACCTGTCATTGCCAGTTAATATATAAGTTAAACTTACACAAATTGAGACCAGTTTTGTCAACCTTTGGTCCAAACAAATACAATAGATGTCAGTAATTGTTGTCTTTTAGTATAGAACACAAGTTTAGCCATATACACTTTTTTCTTCAATGTTATTTTTACTATATATATAGGACAAGATAATATCTGACACAAGAATTCTGATGGTTTTATCTTCTTCAACTTTCCAGATCCAATCTTGATCAGTTCTTTGTTTTACGCTATGCCGCTGTAATGTTTCACATCTAGTCCTTGTTACACACTCTGCCATCTTAGTTGATTGAAAATTGTTGTGTTCACACTTTCTGTTCTCCAAGATCCTAATCAATTGAAAAATGTTGTTGTTTTCACTGTTGTTTTTCCACTGTCCTAAACATTTACGGTACATCATCTAAGCTGGTTGAATTTTTTTTAATTTTCAGTCTCTCTTTTTAACTGCATGGACATTTTTATTCAGACTCTATCAGCTGTGGACGACTGACCTAGTTCTCCTTTTACACTATGCCAGCTGACTTATTTTTTCGTTTCACATTATGCCAGTTTATATACTTTTTACACCATGCCCGGTTTGGCGTACATGGGTAGATGGTAGTAGTTATAACTGATGAAGCTAAGAAGCCTGGTCTCCACGGCACGCTTCGCTCCGCTATTCCGGTAAATATCCAACAGTTCGCCTTTCTGGCTCTCATTCATCTGGAGATACAATCATTAAAGTCATTGTAAGATAGTTCATTGTGATTAGCTAAAAATAAATCACATGCTATAAAACAATAGTTAAATATGTCTCCAACAGAATTGTCAATTTTGCTGACCTTATAAATTTTCAAAATATTATTACCATATTTGAAGTAATAAGGGTACCAAATACTGGGTTAATGAAAATTCTGACACCTTTTTTTTTTCTCTTACAACATATTCTACCTCATATTCTGACTATTTTTTCCCATCAAAGCCGAAAAAAGAAGGTCCCTTTATCCAACCCCCAATACCCAACCCCATCCTCTCTCCCATCCAAATCTCCACCCCCAAGATGAATTCGCTATTACTGTAATTAAGTTGTTGATTGTTCTGAAATATTGCATTGGTCACGATATCAGTAGAAAAGGGTTTATTATATCCCATAGTAGCTTCTGTGTAGTTGCTTGTTTGACTGGTAACATGTCTAACAAACAATTACCATAGATGACTTTAAGAAATTATAAAATCTAAAAGGGAAAAAATCTACAAGTTCATCACAGGCAATTTATTTGAGTTGTGTTTTTAAAATCAATCGGAGCACCCTCATTAGCTCAAATATGGTATTCTAAAAGGGAAAAATCCAGAAATTCATGATAGGCATTTAATTGTCACCCTTATTACCTCAAATATGGTATTTCCATATCGCTCTTGGGTGACACTATTCTAGAACTGACTTCTCTACAAGTCGTCCCCAGGATCTCACATGGTTTTACAGGAGTATTTATTTTGTTCATAATACCATATAATGATACATTAGTTCAGCGTAATAACCCATCACTGTCTTCTAATTGGTATGAAGTGACTTAAATCCATCTGAAGTCTGATTCATGAAGATATTCGTTTCCATTTTATCATGAAACTTGATGTAATTTCATAAGCAATGATCAAAATCTTTTCTGAATAATATAGTACAGAAGTATCTATCATTTTTCTGAAAACTTTTTTCTCTAGGGAGAGATTAATACATCTCAGGGAAGCAAATATTCATGCTTCCTTCATTAAAATCAATAAATGTATAAAACACTCACAGCCACATCCTCATCCACAACCTGTCGGACGCGTTCCTCCACAGACTCCTGTCCAGGGCCCTGCAAAACAGTCACATAACCATGACTTTCATTTTTACACGTGATAATTTAAAAAATCAAAATTTTGTTTTTATGAATTAATTATCTAATTACAAAATATTACAGAACATTGGTTTATCTACAAGATTTGAATTGAAACATAAATTAATTTTCACCCTTTTATCCCTAAGTAACTTGAGTAGATTCTGCCATACATTTATCTGGATGAGTCCATTATGGTCTACAGTGATGAAAGGGTTAACGGATCAAAGGCCAGTGTAACATAATAATTTGAACTAATATCAATATTATCAAGATTTAACCTAAAAACTAGAATTACACTGAATTGGAATTGAAAGTTTAGAATTTTTCTTTCTACTGACGGACATTTAAATTTCTATGGTTTCTTAATTCTTGTTACTTACTGGACTTGTGATGAGGAGTTCTCGCACTTCATCGCGGAAATCTGCAAATCTGTCATGGTAAACAGCCAGACACCATTTCTCCATAAAATAGCTGCAACAAATTCATAAGAATGTTTAAAAATAGATTTTCATATACAGTGGAGCTTCATCAATCTAGCCGTCTTCATTTCCAGAAACAGTGGCTGGAACATGAAACAGCTGGATAACAACACCAATCATACATGGAAGGCCAAACTTTCCGATAAAACACTGGAAGGCAAGTAAGTGAGAAGACCGGATTAGTGGTGGCAGGATTTAATGAAACTGAGAAGTGGGACCACCAGACTAGTGGTGGCTGTTTTAATGAAACTGAGAAGTGGCACCACCAGATTAGTGGTGGCAGGATTTAATGAAACTGAGAATTGGGACCACCAGATTAGTGGTGGCAGGATTTAATGAAACTCAGAAGTGGGACCACCAGATTAGAGGTGGCAGGATTTAATGAAACTGAGAAGTGGGACCCCCAGATTAGTGGTGGCTGTTTTAATGAAACTGAGAAGTGGGACCACCAGATTAGTGTTGGCTGGATTAATGAAACTGAGAAGTGGGACCACCAGATTAGTGGCAGCTTGATTAATGAAACTGAGAAGTGGGACCACCAGATTAGTGTTGGCTGGATTAATGAAACTGAGAAGTGGGACCACCAGATCAGTGGTGGCTGGATTAATAAAACTGAAATGTGGGACTACCAGATTAGTGGTGGCTGGGTTAATGAAACTGAGAAGTGGGACCACCAGATTAGTGTTGGCTGGATTAATGAAACTTAGAAGTGGGACCACCAGATTAGTGGTGGCTGGATTAATGAAACTGAGAAGTGGGATCACCAGATTAGTGGTGGCTGGATTAATGAAACTGAGAAGTGGGATCACCAGATTAGTGGTGGCTGGATTAATGAAACTGAGAAGTGGGATCACCAGATTAGTGGTGGCTGGATTAATGAAACTGAATAGTGGGACCACCAGATTAGTGGTGGCTGGATTAATTAAACTGAGAAGTGGGACCACCAGATTAGTGGTGGCTGGATTAATTAAACTGAGAAGTGGGACCACCAGATTAGTGGTGGCTGAATTAATGAAACTGAGAAGTGGGACCACCAGATTAGTGTTGGCTGGATTAATGAAACTGAGAAGTGGGACCACCAGATTAGAGGTGGCAGGATTTAATGAAACTGAGAAGTGGGACCACCAGATTAGTGTTGGCTGGATTAATGAAACTTAGAAGTGGGACCACCAGATTAGTGGTGGCTGGATTAATTAAACTGAGAAGTGGGACCACCAGATTAGTGGTGGCTGAATTAATGAAACTGAGAAGTGGGACCACCAGATTAGAGGTGGCAGGATTTAATGAAACTGAGAAGTGGGACCCCCAGATTAGTGGTGGCTGTTTTAATGAAACTGAGAAGTGGGACCACCAGATTAGTGTTGGCTGGATTAATGAAACTGAGAAGTGGGACCACCGGATTAGGGGTGGCTGGATTAATGAAACTGAGAAGGGGGACCACCAGATCAGTGGTGGCTGGATTAATAAAACTGAAATGTGGGACTACCAGATTAGTGGTGGCTGGGTTAATGAAACTGAGAAGTGGGACCACCAGATTAATGGTGGCTGGATTAATGAAACTAAGAATGGGGACCACCAGATTAGTGGTGGCAGGATAAATGAAACTGAGAAATGGGATTAGTGGTGGCTGGATTAAAAGAGGCTGGAAAGTGCAGTGTTTTTGTTATCTAAATATTACAGCAGCCTGTTCCTTTATAAATTCCGGAAATATAGCATTATTTGTTTTGAAATTGGGAATTTATTCCTCAGTTTTGGGTCATTTTGGGAAAATAAGGCACTTTTTAGCAAGGGGAAACCGCCTGTATTCATCAGTAAAACTGAGGGGGAAAAAATCGCTGAAGTGGGACCATTGGAAAAAGTGGCTAGATTTATAAATCTCATTTGTATGTTTTATTCTAAAAAGACTTTTTAATAGTAGTTGTAATAGAATTGTCAAGTCGTCACCAGGTTCCATTAAATGATTCTCAGACTCCAAACATTGAAAAAGAAATCTTTTAACAACAAAATATTTTCAACTCTAGTACTATTTGTTTATGAGCAGTAGGATCGGGACAGATGTAGTTACTCCTGTATTTTCCCAAACTTGGACGCGGGCCTTTACTGCATACACACCTGATGAAATCTTTAACTAAGCCCTCGTTAAACCTGGACATCAAGTTGTTGAGACCTCTCTCATGTAGTCCGTAAAGACAGTTGAAATTGCTGCTCGGAATCGGCTGTAAAATACAAAGTAAATATAAAAAGTAACATCGAACCAACACAACCAGTCATAACAAAGCCAGAGTTGGTCCTAGTCACTGTGGTGTTATAGGGGTAAGCACGGTAAATATCTGCAGCAGTCATAACAAAGCCGGAGTTGGTCCTGGTCACTGTGGGGTTATACAGGTAAATATGGTAATATTTGCAGCAGTCATTACAAAGCCAGAGTTGGTCCTGGTCACTGTGGGGTTATACGGGTAAATACGGTAATATTTGCAGCAGTCATTACAAAGCCAGAGTTGGTCCTGTCACCATGGTGTTATAGGGGTAAGTACGGTAATATCTGCAGCAGTCATAACAAAGCCAGAGTTGGTCCTGTCACCATGGTGTTATAGGGGTAAGTACGGTAATATCTGCAACAGTCATAACAAAGCCAGAGTTGGTCCTGGTCACTGTGGGGTTATACAGGTAAATATGGTAATATTTGCAGCAGTCATAACAAAGCCGGAGTTGGTCCTGGTCACTGTGGGGTTATACGGGTAAATACGGTAATATTTGCAGCAGTCATTACAAAGCCAGAGTTGGTCCTGTCACCATGGTGTTATAGGGGTAAGTACGGTAATACCTGCAGCAGTCATTACAAAGCCAGAGTTGGTCCTGGTCACTGGGGGGGATATACGGGTAAGNATTTGGAGGGACAGACAAGAACTTAACAAATTATTGTAAATCTAGTGATCTTTTACAAATTGACAGCACATATATTTGGCACTTTTTTCTCAAAATTCTACATTTAACAGAATTTTCATTGAAAGAAACATTTTTATGAAAATGTTTTATTAAAAAAGAATTCTCCATCTCAAGTTATCAGCAAAAACCCTTTTTTGGGTTTTTTTACAAATTGACACCTGAACATGCTAGGTTATATAGCTGATTTTAATTTAATCTGCAGTAACTAACGTACATTTTCAAATTGTATGCGAAATTTTGAATTTTTCAACTTCCAACATGTCAAAGTAGAATAGACCAAAATATCAGCATCAAACACAATGGGGACAAAATATCCAGTATTGGAATGTCTTAACTGTTAGGAGTGTTGTTGATTTCAGGAGTGATCACAAATGACTAACACCATGAATATCTATAAACCCACAGTAAGTAGTTAAGGGTACATTTATAACATAGATATAATTTTTTACTACAGATAAAAATTATTGCTGGGGTTTCATTTTAGAACTTGCACTTTCAAGATCTAGAGCGGAATAAACCAAGGTAAAACAAAACAGAAATCAATTCAATTTATCTTATTTTCCAGCACTGGTGGTTTCCATTTACACTGCTGGGTAGACTTTAGCAATTAGGCTGTCTTTAGTTTACAAATTATGCTCATTCACCCCTTTTCATTTCATAATGAACTATTTCAACCTTTGAATTGGAAGAGTTCAAATGTGTCTTCAGGGGTGAATGAGTTAAAATGACCAACTGCTCATGAATTGCTCCTGAGCAAAGAGTAAGAAAAAACAGAATGATAGCGACATACTTCAGTCCCTTGTACAGGACTCAATGTATCTGCGGGAACCATATCTCTGAAGGTCTGATTGATTTTATTGCATTTTAAAAAATTTACTTTATCAGACCATTATGTTAATTTTCAAAATCAAATATCTAAAATTTCAAAGTCAAATATCTAAAACTTAAAAAAAATAAAAAATCTATTGATTGATTTTTGAGCTACGGTTCCCAAAGCTAGACTCAAAGCCACATGTTTCCCATCTTTAGGAACATAAAAGATACTTCTGTTAAGCTTGAAATAAGAGCAAGCTTTGGCAGCCCTTACAGAGGATGCTTCCTTCACAAGTGATGAAACAGAATTGAGATTTTAAATCAAGCTACCAAGCGAGCAAAAAATATTTCTAATGTCTTTCTGCAAAATTTTCAGAGGACAGTGATGAGGCCTATCATAAATTACATAAAGATCTGAGCTAGACATGCAAACAGCAGGATACAGGTATTTTAAATAATGTTTTGTTCTAATCAAGATAAAATGCTTGCTTTGTTAAGAAAGATGATTGCTTTAAAGATATTGCTGTGTACTTTTCAATCGTGAACCAATGCGCAAGGTACTGCCAGGTAAAATGATTCCATCAGACATTTTTTTAGTCTTAAGAGTTCATATCAATACAGTTACTAATTAACTCTACTTTCCAAAGTTAAAAGACCCCATTTCATAGTGAACTTCAACAGAATCTTCTTTCTTGTTGGACTTGAACATGAAAGTGAATGCCTGTTTAAGCACTAATAGTAGAACAGCGGAAAGTAATGCAAATCTAACATTGCACGAAAATTAAACGGAAAATCCATTTCATGTTGAGGACCCATTTTCCTTAGGTTCTACGCATCCGTTTTGTAACGGCTTCCCTAATGATGTACAACGTTTGTTTGTTAAAAATTTGTGTCTTCACAACTGCCACAGCAATATGATAAAGGTGTCCACAGATGATGGGGCCACTTTGAACCTTTCATCACTGTAGACCATAATGGACTCATCCAGATAAAAGCATGGTAGAGTCCACTGATGTTATTTAGGGGTGAAGGGTTAAGGATCCCTGACCCGCTGCAGGCAAACCACAGGGTTTGAATTGGATGTTGTACTTGAAGCAATGAAGGATTTCTGTACCTCTCCCAAAAACTGTAACTGTGTATTAGAAATTGATTTTTTCGGGTAGAAATGAATTATGCAAATTAAAGCTTTGATAAATCAGACCAGGAATCAAAACCAGCACCTAACTTTGTTATACTATTGCTCTAAATGACTCAGCTACCTGGTCAACGAAAGTTTTCTGGCCAATCAGGGCTACATTAATAGCAAACAGAAGTGAAGGGGAGGTTACTATACATACGGACAAAACACAGTGCAGTGGGACAGGGATCCTTAAGTGTCATCTAACTGAAATGTCATAACCTGGACACAACAGCGTGACGATCCACCCGGTCACACCCTGATGACAACAGGGCAATCACAGGGGCCTACGGAAGACGCACCGGAAAGACAATCACAGGTGCCTACGGAACAGGGCAATCACAGATGTCTACGGAAGACGCCCCGGAAAGACAATCACAGGTGCCTACAGAACAGGGCAATCACAGGTGCCTTCGGAAGACGCCCCGGAAAGACAAATGTAGTGTGAAAAGAAACAAAGCACAAGGAATTCTTAACTCGACTTTAAAAATTAAAAAAAAAAAATGAACTATTTCAAGGGGTGCATGCAGTAGATGCATTTTGGTTCCTTTAGTGTCCTCAGGTAGAAGGCACAACAGCAAATTCCAAATTCCTTAGGAGGTTCCCATACTAATAGTCTCTTACAATATCAAGTTGTACAAAACATTACACAAGTAATCCGACACAGCCCCGATTTTTATTTTTTATTTTCTCATCAATATTCTATGCTTTTAAAGCCAGTTTCTACTAGGAACCTGAAATGGTTAAAACATCTTGTTTACATTTTTAAGTAACAGCGACCTACATATCTCAGATTTAGTGATCCACATCTTCAACCTTCAGATTAACATTTTTTTTTTAAATAGGTATCAGGTTTGCATTAAAAAAAAACAGAATACATCAAATCATTTTTTCAGTGAATCAGTTTTATCAAAAATCAATTTGAATGTAGACTAAAAAAATCTTATGATACAGCTTAACGGATACTTCATTATAACGAAGCTATAAATATCATGATCCTAACCCTAATTGGTCTCAAGAAGGAATACACCATATCGCCATCCCTTTTACGGTCTTTCTGACATTAGGTCAAAACAGTTTTTTTTAAGATAATACAGCGAAAGCAGTTTGATCAATTCTCTGGAGAAAACGAAAAAATAATCCTTAGTAATTTCTGATGTTAGATTTTTGTATCAGGAAACCATGCCAACAAATTTACAAGGGACATGTGTACGGGAAAACAAAATGAACATCACTTTGTTCGGACTTTACCAATTAATGCATCAATCAATATTTGCTTTTAAATATACTACCATATACAAGTCAATTTCCTTGACAAAGGAAAAAGGGTCTAGTTTTGATCTTACCCCAGATAGCCTAGGTACAGGATCAGTTCAACGAGCAGACTTAGGACATATACCGTTAAATTAATTGAAAAAAAACAATAACTTTAATAAAGAAATTAATGATTTCCTTCTTTAATAAAGGAACATGTAATTAAAAAATTGTTGACATGAAATATCAAGATACCTTTGTTCAAAGTATTGTCAGCTTTATTAAGTGACACTCAAATACACTTAATTACACTCCTTAATTACACTTATATTACTGCGTAATCAGATTTTCTTGTGGCACCCAAATTTCGTGTTTCCCGACAAATCACCATTTCATTGGTACATGCAATTGTGGATTACGAACGCTTACTCATACGGAGAGCTGCTTTATATCAAATTTGTAATTAATTGGTGGACTTATAAATTAGTGGATGAAGATAAACCCACGAAAATCAACAAAATAAAAAAATAAAAAAATAAAAGTTATTTAACAGTAATGTTGTGTTTCAGAGAAAATCCCCCCCACCTCCTCACTCACTTCCCTGTAAGAAAAACTAGCATCCACTCCCCCTGGACATATCCCCAAAACNGTGGGGGATGGGGGAAGGGAATGGAAAAAACTTCATGACAGCACTGAAGCGTCATTCTGTAAAGTATATTGTCTCAGACATAAGATTACCGTAACTAAAGGCTAATCTGTAGATTGTGTTCCATGGTTTCACAGATTCTGACTCAGACACACTTGTTGAAGGACATGTGAATGTCAAACGTCAGTGTGTATACACGACATATCTAGTGTTCTGACACTGCATGACATACACATCATCAGGGTTTCAATTTTAGTATTCTTCATTTTTTCTATCGCAGACAAGATACTATGTTTTATTTTTTATTACATGGAAAGTATTTTTTTTTAAATATGAAGAAAAATCTATATAGATATTTACACTTTTTGGATGCTGAAATATCAAAGAACATCCCTAAAGCTGCATTTACCAAAGATGTATGACGACAGCTCCCACACCATTAGAATAATGATCCGTGGCTGGTACCATGGTTGATATAAATCAAGATGAAACAGAGGACTGTAACCGGTCAACAGTAGAGTAAACATAAAACCAATATCCCTTAAAAATCTCCCGTTTCCCAGCGGCTCGGCTAGTTTCTATAGTGTGCAGTGTTGTCCCTCTAGAGTTTGAGGCCATTACAGGAAAGTCAATAAGTGCTCTGTATTACAACAGTGGGACAATACTTGCGTGCATGTGATGAAATATATGCTTTTTTTCTTCTTCCGATTTTAATTGATAGCTTTTAATGTTTAACTTACCATGACAAAAACACCCTTTTGTCATTCCTATTCTACTGGGTGCGTAGAAGTTTAGGATGGGGTTTTTCCCAGCTTTTACAGAAATAGTACATACGACATGATCACAGTATCACGTTTTGTAAATATAGGAATTTCAAAAATCTATACTTGTATACTATAAAATTGTACTGAGTATGAAAATAAGTTTCAAATCAATTCTTTAAATATGCCATAATTAGAATTATATATTTTAAAACAATCTACTTCCAAATTTTATCCTGATTATTTTGTATACTCTATTTCATTGGGTGATACGTTCTAGCTCTTTAGTCCACAATCTTCAAACAAACTTTGATATAAAAATTCTACAAAGGGCAATAACTCTGTATATAGTTTGGAGCAGGATCTGATCTCAGTATGTGATACTCTGCCATCCCAAATGTACTAACATTCCCAAATTTGGCCATTGTAGGTGACAGACTGTAAGACATGCCCAGGTCAAAGGGCTGCACATTAACAAAGGGCCATAACTCTGTTTATTGTGCGGTATAAGATGCCTTCTTAAGAGGCACTCGCATACAAAATTTGCTGATTGACGACGTGAAATCTATTGTCCCCTAAGGCTCCGAAGCACTTAGCTGGGGGAACATAATTATCAGGACAATGGCTGAAAAATCTAGGTATATTTTCATCATTTGCTGCTCAGAAATCAACTTTTTTAGGGCACTGAATTTTGCACAGTGACATATTCTGATGAAGGAGTTTGTCATGACTTTAGTTCACCATACATTTTTTTCCAAAATGAAGACAGGATTTTTCACATGTAATTTCCTGTTAAAGTCAATGAAACTTATTCCTTATCCGAAAGTGTAATTAATACCCAAGGGAACAGAGAGACTGAACAAATGAATCTGTTGAAGAAAAACAAAGAAGAAAAACTGTATGGCCTGTTGAATGAAAATTAAACAGATACTATTAAAGAGAGATTTTCCATCAAAGACAGCAATAATTTCAACAATATTTTACCTAGAACCGTATTTAACTATACCCGACATTAATAACTTACTCACCTGTTTAGAAAGGCATGTGATGGTTTCTATGGTATTGTATTGGTTGATATGAAGACGGAAGTAACCCGGATCTCCGTCCACCGTCCCTGTGATGTATTCCTTACCCTGGCAAAGAAAATCAGTGAACAAGGAATTCAAGAGCGTGTCATCAACAAATTCTTCACATGAAAAACCCCTTAATCATACAAGTCTTGAACCAGCTGCTGAACTGTTGCTTCAGTTTGCTTATCTTTTCATTTACAATATATAATACATTTTTTAGACTGCCCCCCATCTCTAGAAAATTGAATTATTAAGAAAAAAGTAAACTCTAATAATTTTGATCACTTGTATGTCTGATTCCCAAGTTCTCAAACTAGGGGGAGATAAGCTAGTACACTGTAGTAAAATGCGGTTGAGAAATTCTTCATAAAAACTTAGGGGCTGATAGCCAGTCTTTTTTTTCAAACTCTTTTCAATTTTTAACTTGTTTTCAAAATTGAAAAATCTTATAGTTCTCCGCTAAGGAATTTGTGTCACATTACAATGATTTCAAATATTCTTTTTTTTAATAATTAAGCGTTAAAATTACACAGTCAGACTGTGCTATCCGTTACCAAGGGGTGTGTACTTACATAATCAGGCTGTGCCATCTGGTTGCTAAGGGGCGTGTCTAGACCTGGTTTGGCCACATGGAGGTAGTGGTAGCCCCCTATAAACATTACAAGGTAAAGTATCATGAGAAAAATTGTTACTGGGAAAACTAACCCCTCCTGATTATCAAGCAGAGAGCTAATCCACAACACTATGAGATATGTTATTTTCTATGTTAAAGTACCTTTCTGCAACATTACTGGGAATATTCTCAAAATGCTTTGAACTCCTTATAAAAGTCTGCAAAATAAAATTGTTTTTAAATGAACAAAGAGGAAAGAATAAAAAAATATACAGAAAAAATAATTCAATGCCTGTGCAGTGCATACAGCAGAAAAGCAATATAACCCTCTATCTTAGCAGGTCCTACTGTACACGAAAATGTAATTACCAGCTGTCACTATAACGGTATTTATTTTCAAGCTAATTACGTGTCTCTAAAAAAGAGTATGTTATATAGTAAACCAAATCCTTCTTGACAACATGTGGCTCAACGTGCGACATTGAACTAGCACTTTTAAATTTGTTGATAATAAACCGATCAATAAGTCACAAAAAAAATAACAAATATTTTTCCTTTAGTCTTTACGATTGTGTAATAATTTCCCGACGCTCGGGAAATACTAAGTTTCCGGTTCTGCCTAGTCAGCACGAATCACGAGTCCTCAGTGTCCTTGATTTCATATAAAACTGATTGATCCAATAACAGGTTTACAAAGGTTCAAGAAAATTTGGTTTGAAGCTCTATTCATTCAAAAGAGTTAATTAGTTTTGTGCAACAATCAATAAACAGAAAAATTGATTTGCGGTTAAACAAGTTTCAACATTTGCAGTATAATTCTCGGAGGTATTTAGCTTCATGCCGAAGGAGGTCTGATCTAATCGGGTTCGCAAGTCTTCCTGTAATTACATCATTTTCAATTTCTCCTCTTAAGCTACAGTGTATTACAGCTGATTAAAGCTCGAATTCTGTAGAATAGGGTTACCTGGGATTTTTCACATTTAAGTGGTCACTCACGACAGGTGAACTATACTTGAAATTGTTAAGAACAGGCGAAATAATTTGGAATCAAGACAGTCATGCACAGGTAAAAAGTAACATGTGATCTAACGTCTGGCTACCACAATTGGTATTTAAAATTAAAATTGTATTTTTCCCTTCAATGGTATAGCAATACAGATATTTATCAGCATTTCCACCGAATCATTTTGTTTTCAGCGACATTTTTTACTAAAATCCAGAAAACCAGAAAAGGCGACTTACGTCGACGATATTTATGAGGATTTTGAAGGGATTATTTATAGGCATGTGATAATGTTGATTTCTGGTCCTTTTAACAAGATAACATAAACATTGAGGCATTTGATAAAGACGGTTGTGCCATTGAAACGTTGTGCCAAAAAAATCATACATTAACTTTTTTAGTCTTACTATACAAAAAAACAAGATAATATAAAAGTGTACAGTGTACATATAAAATTGTAGTTCTGTATGGTTTTTGTAACAGCAGTTATTTCATAGTGAACGGCACATCAACTAGCAGAAATAAAAACAAGTTAAACATTCCATAGCCTGTGATAATATGGTGTACATTTTGAGTACCAATTTGAGTACTAATCATGGCCAAAAATGAGTGAAATCTCACTCTTAGTTTACTGTGCTATATCTGATAGCAAATTACTTAGATTCAAAAGTTTTCTTGAAATTTAACCACCATGGGCAGTGTTTGTCAAGAATCAGGAAACATTCCAGATACAAGATCTGAATTTTTAAATATTACTGAAAAACTGTCAAAATTGCACCGATTGTGTCAGCGTGAAGTTACAGAATATATTATAATTTTACTTTAGTGGCAAATGACTCACCTGGTAAAATTCCACCCTGGATCTTAGGGTTGCGGTAGATGGGGATAAGATTCAGGGCTTCTTCAGGTGGTGCCGATTGTGGTTCCATTGTGGGGTCAAATAACCGCAACATTTCTGTGGCCAGCTGTGAAAATAGAAATAAAACTGTATAGGAATATATCTATACCGTGTAATAAATAGCAACCTAACAACTTCTACAATTAAATATTTGATGTCTCAATTTATTTTCAGTAATGTCTCACTATTTGAAAGACATACAATATTGTGATTATTTTATGGTAAAAAAAAAAACGTTCTGAACCCCTATTATATTTATACCACAAGAGAAATAATATTTTGTCAAACAGTTTACAGTTTTTGCGGTATTGATGCAGTTTATTTGAACAATTAAAAGAGAACCTATCATTGCATCTACTGCGGACATCAGGGCTAAGGTAAAACCTGAGACCCTTGATTGGAAAATAGGCTTGATATTTGTATCATAACAAAAAAATCTTGCGGTCTCCGTTATAGCTTTCAACATTTTGGGATGAGATTGAAAATCGCAATAAAACGCAACAGTTAAGCCTTATACATTGTACTGTATTTATGTATTTTTTTTCTTAGTTAACTCTGGTAAACATCCAGAAAGCATGACAATAATGCTTAAACAGTACTAAAAAAAAAGGAACCCTCCTATAGTTAGAATTAATTAAATCAACAATTTTGTTTTTTCAATGTTGACTTTTTATGTTCAATGTCAATGACAGATTAATTATTTTCTTCCCTGATAATTTGTTACCCTATTAAGCCTCCAATAAGCCCGGAAGCAAGACAACATATATAACAGAACCTATCAGACCAAAAACATTGGGTGGGCCTATTACAGAACGATGATATAAAATTTGTCAGTAATTTTCTACCGAAATGCAATATATTTAAGGGGTCCTATTACCAGACATGTTGTTATTGCCTGTACCACACAGTAATGTAGCTTGTAGTCTAGTTTGATGTATGCCTATATACGTAATATGTAATTACGATTAACAAGGCAAAGTATTGTGAGGCAATCCATAAGTAACCCACTGGTAATGATTTCTATATTCAACAAACAGTTTACTTGTGTCAGAAAGCAAAGTGAGGTCATAGTGACCTCCTTCTTGTACTTCACCATCCAAAGATGTCCTTGTATACCAAATCTTGTTACTCCAGGTGAAAAAATATGCCCCTAACAAAAGTTAAGGTCAAAGGTCAAAGCATACATCGAAGTGACCTTCTTCTTGCACTCTGCACTCCACCATCCCAAGATGTCCCTGTAAACTGGTTACTCCAGATCAAATAGTATAGATGATTTTCCCTGGACAAACTTTTTCAAAAGTTAAGCTCAAAGGTCAGAGCATAGGTCACAGTGAGGTCATAGTGACCTTTTTCTTGCACTCTGCATTCCATCATCCCAAGATGTCCTTGTACACTACATTTGATTACTCCAGGTGAAATAGTATAGAAGATATGTCCTAGACACACTTCTCGGACGGACGGAGTCCGTCATATAGTCCCCCCTCGGGAAACGATAGGAGACTAATTACAAAAAGGCAATAAATGGAGAGAAGAAAAAGGATTACCGCCATAAGAAACATGTACTATACAAGGATTTAAATATCCTGTAAGTCAATATATAAACATGTAGTTTAACAAAAATATCATTTTACCAACAATTTGACAGAAGAATTTTTTGTAACTTTGCTGTCTTATAGTACCATAAAAATAGTTTTTTTCTTGAGACTGTTTATTGTAAGTTTTAGGAAACAAATTCTTAAGTGAATTTTATTGGTCAATAGTTTACCTTCAAATATCAACCAATCAGTGCAAATGCGATTCCTAGATGCAATTCTATTCACATTGTAACATTAACAATTAGAAATCACTTTCAATAAGTGGCGCAAGAGTGCTTAAATACTGTGTATGTAATGAAATTATGTATTTTTTGTGATGTCCTATTACCATACTAGTAATAGAAAGCAAAAGAAACAAAGTTGTTGAATGAGTGTACCATGCCTCAATAGCCAATCAGATTTAAGGAACCTTATTAAGAATTCATGGATCATGATCATCTTTAAGCTTGACAGAGTGCTGTTATCTTGGAGAGTTATGTAATTGCTTTCTGGACATCAAAGTTGGACAGATTGACAGACAAAATGCAAGACAAATGTACAAATGCCACAAAGGAAAATATCAAATTGAATCTTTCCAATATTTGTGAAACATCAGGCAGAAAAGAATGACCATGTACAATATTTAACATGCATCAATGCAATACAACCTTGTGATTCCATCATTTTTAAATAGACAATACAACACCAAATATGGTTTTCTACCAGACTGACAATTAAATGTAATAAGTGCTGAAACAGTCATAAGCCAGTGTAACTGGGCCTTATAAACAGCAAGTCCCCTCAAGTTTCAGAATTTCAAAAAATTACAATATCACGTCATTTCAAAAAACGCTATATGGCTGTCTTAACCTTTTCTAGTTAAGGTAAATTTGATTTTTTAGAAATAATCATGATTCCCAGTTTTAGATAGGAGGATCACTAATATATAACTATTGGTTATCAAAAAAAAGATACAAAGTGCTGAAAATATTTGTAAATTTCTTTTTCAAATCAATCAGTATGATTTATAAAAGATATGAAAGTACATGTATATATGTTACAAACATTGATTAGAATAATTGTCCATTGCATGCCAAGAACTGGATTCAGAGCCGTGTTTCCTACGCTTTAAACATTTAGTGCAAAAAATCTCATTACAAAGTTACAGGTATTCAATTTTCCTACCTCTGTGGCTATCTGTGAAAAATGACAAAAATTCAAAATGACAGGAATTTTTTAAACAATACAAGTTCTTAATTCCACAAAATGTAGATCATTTTATTTACTCTGAGTCAGCATGTGCTCAGAATGAGTATAATCTGAGTGATTGTGTACTTGGTTTAACTCATTCACCCCTACATTTTTAAAGTGGACTTGCCAAGTCTTTGATATGGTAAGGTTCAAATGTGACTTAAGGGGTGGATAGGTTAAGGATCCCTGTCCCACTGCACTGCTAGTTTCCCTGGATACAGTTACTTCCCCTTAACTTCCATTTAGGATATAACTGTAGCACAGTCANAATGGTTAAAAACATTAAATGTTTGTGCCCAAAATCGGAAATCTCCATCCAAAATAGGGAAAGTTGGCAAGGATGAGTTAGGTAGCGAGTTGTTTTTGTAAAACCTTAAGTAATGGCTAGCAAGAGATATTGATTTGACATCGTACAGCTTTCCTTGTCATCATTAAAAGTGAGACAGCAGGTATGATAGACCTTTGTAACGATAAACACATGATAAGAGATCACTAATGAGACGTAATAATGTTATAAATGGACTCGATATTCCCATAACGGCGGTATAGCTAACTGACATCCAAGCTACCAGTAAAATTGTCTTTGAGTACAGTGTTGGACCTGCAGATGAACTAAGAACAGAATGGAATGATGACTGAAAGTTTTTTTAAAAATCGTATTTTTTTTAAAAATTGGAAATGACAAGGACAAGTTTGTCAATTATAACACTAGTGGATTTATCAGGGTCAAACTATCGCTTATCAATCACCAATCCATGTACTTTGTCTACTATCTTATCAGGGTCAAACTCTCACTGATCAATCACCAATCCATGTACTTTGTCTACTATCTTATCAGGGTCAAACTCACGCTGATCAATCACCAATCCATGTACTTTGTCTACTATCTTATCAGGGTCAAACTCTCACTGATCAATCACCAATCCATGTACTTTGTCTACTATCTTATCAGGGTCAAACTCTCACTGATCAATCACCAATCCATGTACTTTGTCCACTATCTTATCAGGGTCAAACTCTCACTGATCAATCACCAATCCATGTACTTTGTCCACTATCTTATCAGGGTCAAACTCTCACTGATCAATCACCAATCCATGTACTTTGTCCACTATCTTATCAGGGTCAAACTCTCACTGATCAATCACCAATCCATGTACTTTGTCCACTATCTTATCAGGGTCAAACTCTCACTGATCAATCACCAATCCATGTACTTTGTCCACTATCTTATCAGGGTCAAACTCTCACTGATCAATCACCAATCCATGTACTTTGTCCACTATCTTATCAGGGTCAAACTCTCACTGATCAATCACCAATCCATGTACTTTGTCCACTATCTTATCAGGGTCAAACTCTCACTGATCAATCACCAATCCATGTACTTTGTCCACTATCTTATCAGGGTCAAACTCTCACTGATCAATCACCAATCCATGTACTTTGTCCACTATCTTATCAGGGTCAAACTCTCACTGATCAATCACCAATCCATGTACTTTGTCCACTATCTTATCAGGGTCAAACTCTCACTGATCAATCACCAATCCATGTACTTTGTCCACTATCTTATCAGGGTCAAACTCTCACTGATCAATCACCAATCCATGTACTTTGTCCACTATCTTATCAGGGTCAAACTCTCACTGATCAATCACCAATCCATGTACTTTGTCCACTATCTTATCAGGGTCAAACTCTCACTGATCAATCACCAATCCATGTACTTTGTCCACTATCTTATCAGGGTCAAACTCTCACTGATCAATCACCAATCCATGTACTTTGTCCACTATCTTATCAGGGTCAAACTCTCACTGATCAATCACCAATCCATGTACTTTGTCCACTATCTTATCAGGGTCAAACTCTCACTGATCAATCACCAATCCATGTACTTTGTCCACTATCTTATCAGGGTCAAACTCTCACTGATCAATCACCAATCCATGTACTTTGTCCACTATCTTATCAGGGTCAAACTCTCACTGATCAATCACCAATCCATGTACTTTGTCCACTATCTTATCAGGGTCAAACTCTCACTGATCAATCACCAATCCATGTACTTTGTCCACTATCTTATCAGGGTCAAACTCTCACTGATCAATCACCAATCCATGTACTTTGTCCACTATCTTATCAGGGTCAAACTCTCACTGATCAATCACCAATCCATGTACTTTGTCCACTATCTTATCAGGGTCAAACTCTCACTGATCAATCACCAATCCATGTA